GCCCGACTCGGCCGCCTAAAAAACAAACATGTTTGTTTTCAGTTTGAGGCGACCGAGTCGGGCGATCGGCCCTATCCAGCCGTAGTGGGCACCCCGTATCAAGACAGCCAAAAATGTTAAAACTTCGTAATTCTAAGGTAGCAAAATATAGATAATTTTAAAAAATAGCATAGAAAAGATTCATGGCGCATTCGAAAATTATGATTTGTTCCAAGGTTAGTCCATAGTCCATATCATTTTGACCTAAGCAGCCCCTTTTCTAGTCTGATCAAATTGTGTTCAAGACAGACATATACATGTGTTGATGGGAGCGTAAAAACACTTTTAAAAAAAAGCAGGTTAACATACAAATTTAGGCAGACACGAACACTATTCTTCACAAGTACACTAAGTTTCCTTTTTGTATTTGACAAAATTATGCACGTAGGACTGAGAGTGGCTCAGATCGACCAAGCTAATCTAGTGGCAGTTCTTGACGTCAGCAGCGTTGTTGTAGCTGCTCTGTGGGAGAGATGATTCGCAAACATTTGTTAATTGGAAATATGGATTATAGAGTTTTCATTCTAAAGATATTGTTGCTACCGATAAGAGCTTCAAGTTCCAGCAAAACTTTTTAAAACAAGGTGAAAATTCAATTCTTTGTTTAGACGGATGGGGCGCTGTATTCTTAGGAAAGTAATTTAGCCTATTTTTTTCTTCAGCATACCTGGTATTAATGGTTGCATGACGATCGGTAGGGATAGAACATGTGCATGACAATAGTTTGTTCCTGACTGACCACAGTGCTCTTCGTCCGCCAAGGGAGTTACAGCAAAACAATCCCTTTGAATTGCGGGAAGAGAATAAGGCAATCTACCTGAATTTATCAGATCTATTTCAAACATCCGGTTTGTTTTACTATGTTCATAAAGAATAACGATTTTCAGACCATCAGTTTAAAGACTAATTGGGGTCATGTCCGGTATTCATCATGACAAAAGGACACGATAAGGCTTAAATAATTTATTTCAGTCGCTGAGATTATCGAACGCTTGAAACGAATTCAGCTCATTTGACTGGAGCAGACAGATATAGCCTCTTGAAGAGGATTGATAAAATATGCAGAATATTGGAATTTGTCCTCAAAGTTAGTCTGACTTATCTTTACTTCAGTGGTACACTTTCCTTGCGCATCATTTCATGTGCTTAATAAGAAAGGTTGATATGAAGACAGACACGATTTTCAAGAAAGATTGGTATAAAGACAGACACGCGTCAGAGGTGTAGACAAATGCTCTGTTTACGATTTACTCATTATACTCGGCGAGCAGGTTTACGTTTTTAATACTAATGGCGAACCAAAGCAGATCAGTGACTTACTCATTGACAAATCCGTCATTGGAGGGACAATCGTCGCGGCTGTTAAAGTTGGGCTTGGTAAAGGGCACCCCGGGAAAGTCGCGTTTATCTGAGTCAAATGAAGAGCCAGCGGTACCTGTACCCTTGCGACCCAAACCTGCCATGTGATTCACCACAACGTCCACGTAGATTCTGAGGGTAGGAGGAAAGAAATAAGCGGTAGTTAGTCAGAACTGTTGAGAGAGCATTTTAAAAGCATTAATTTTGTTCAATGGCATCAGCATTTTAACTAGGAAAAGAATACACTTCGATGGCAATTTTATATCATGTTTTGTTCCAACTCAATACAATATTATAATTTTAAAAATGTGACTCTGAGTATGTGTCCAGATTATCCGAATTTCATTGCCTAGGTAATCTTCAATTTCAGTATGACACCATCTTCTGACAAAACAGATGTAAGAAGAAATCCCCACGAGTAGAGAGAGGAGCCTATGTTATTGAAAACTGCATTTACAGGAGCCAGATATTCACAGAGGTCAACAGCCTCGATTTCTCACGAAAAAGTATTCACATGTGAAAGCAGAGCAGGGTTGGGCATGCAGTATCCTGGTGCTCTTTTTAAAATCCCGAAAAAAGGTCTCAAATGTAACATGAAGAATTGTTAATCTCCCATTGCAATCGATCACACTTAAAGAAAAATCGCTTCAGTCATAGACTTGACAAGTAAGTTACATTTTGAGATTCGAAAGAAACACTAAAGGGAACAGTTTTTCCCCTCTGGAATACAGTATTCCTCAGTCTGAAGCGATGCACTATTACTATGGAATGAAAATAAAGGCTTCAACCTGACTATTGCTAGAAAATGTAGATATTTGTGCATCATACGTGATCAAAAACAAAGGCAAATTGTTGAATGATATAGATCACTCGAGGTTTTTTTCTTGAGTAAAAAGATAGTTAAGCTCTACGAACCTGACACCAACTTTCTTGCACCTCTGCACCATGTCTTTGAACTGAGCTTCATTACCACTTCGGCTGACAAGCTTGTAGCTGACTGGCTGGTAGCGCTCCCACCAAGGTCTCATGGCGTCTGTTGTAACCATCACGTGTTCGTTGGCTGGTGATACCTTAGGAGTTTGAAAATAATGATGATAATAATAATAATAATAA